TCCTGCTGATACAGTTAGCACAATCCTCTCCTGGGTTACCTCTCTGGTAGGCAAGATACATTGTCCCCCTGGGTTGTATGGTTGTACGAAGCTCCTGTGCCACAGCGTTGAGTGGTCCTGCAAGAGACAATGATGTTTCTGTGTTTTTGTTCTATTTTGCATTTCTAGTATTTGCTGCCCAATAGTCAGCTTTTCCTTAAATGTCTTTGTTGCTTTCTCATTACATAAACAATATCCCTTAAAAAAAAATCCGCATAAAATCAATTCATATTCTTTCAGATATATTTAACTATACTGCTTTTAATGCTTACAGACTTACACCATCTGTCAGTGTCTAGGCAAAAAAAATCTGAGGCTGCTGCTACTGTACAAAATATCCTTTTTAAAATTATCTCATCAACTCGCTTTTATGCCATTTGTTTCTAACATTTGCTCTTTGCAACTTGAAGTGTACAGTCTGGTATGAGGGGGGAAGACAGAGAATAGGTTTATTGTTTTTTGCATAGATCAACTAAAACATTAAGGGTGTCGTTACTAAATACTACAGAGATACCTAAAGGCAATTCAAATACTGTTTTTCTTTCTATTAAGTTTACATTGTCTCAGTATGTAGTTAATTTCTGCTGTACTTAGTTGAAAGTGAATGAGATGAAGAACCTGATTGGGAGAATTTAGGTGCTAATTTAAAGGCTGTTTGTGTGTGTGTGTATATATAGATATCTGACGGTAACTTCATGAATTTCTCACTTGCACAGATGAGTTTCACAAACTATAGCCCAAATAAAGCAATTTACGTTGTTTTTGTAGTAAAACAGGTATGTAATTTAATGTTGCTTGCTGGTTATATCATGCAGGAATATTTGTCTGACTCTGACAGCTGTACTTCTTTTCCTGGGAAAGCTGACTGCTCACTGCATAGTAGAATATTCAGTGTGTTTTCTCTTAACTTTTTCATTATGTCTTAGTTTCTTTACAGGGTGAGATGTCTAAGATCTCCAAGAATGGTTGTCTTCATCTGATATTAAAGCAATATTAATTGGCTTTTGGATGGGAACCTTATATATCGATACCAATAAATATACTTACCAAAGTAACACTTTTAGCTCAAGAACCAAATGTTTCCTTTTCTGGAGTAAAATCCCAAGAAGCAGAAGATGTTAGCAGAAGACATTATTCATGAACAGCATATGTTTTCCATACATGCTTCAGAAGTGCTAGCTAAATTCTTGACACGCAGTGCTAGATTATCAGCTGTTACCTATGATTTTCACCCATCATACCTCAGAAAGCAACTGACATTAAACTGTTACTTTTCAAGCTTCAGGAGACTTTCTGTATGGGCAAATAAACACCTGCTTTGGTCAAGTTATTGTGTCTTCCCATTGATCAAAGGTTATTTATCTGTAAAATCAGCCATCTTTTTGAAAGGAGAATCTGCTGATAATCTGTGAAAATCTAGTAAAAAATAATACCTTGACTCAGTCTTTGCATAGTGATACAGTGACCTTTTGAGAGCTGCTAGCTCAGAGTCATACCAGCATTTTATTAGAAATAAACCTCTAAGTGGCTTGATTATTTTTCTTTCAATTTACAAGACTGTTTCTGATTTTCTTTCAGAGGTGTGAATTCTGTAGCCCTATTCAAAAAGCTTACCTAAACCAGTTAATTCTATTTAAATTAATTTTCTAAATCATGTTCCTGCTTGGGAAGAGCCAAGTTCATTACTTTTAAATACTGTGTTTGGACTAGTACTCTCCTAAGCTTTTTGTAGCTAAGATGAATTTGTTTGTGCATTGAAAACGCTGGTGGTTAGTAGCTGCATCAAAAGATTTCTGTCAAAAGGTTTCTCGCCACTGTATTAAAACTGAGGGACATCATGACTTGTTTAGAGTGGAGGGGAGGTTGTTGGTTTTTGTTTGTTTATCTGTTTGTCCTTGTCACTGTTACTGAAGTCTGCAAGCACTTATGTGTAGGTGAAATCATGTTTACACTGTTACTTGACTTCAGCTCTGTACAAGACACTTGTATGGAGAATGGTTCCATGATCTTTGCTCTGGTAGAATCCTCTCCCAGTTCCAGGAAAGGGCAAAGTTAAAGTACATGAATACACCACTTCCTTATATAAGGAACTTGTTTAGATAACGATTGCCAACATGAGAGGACATTTTAGTACAATACGATTAGCCTAGAACTAGGTGTGATTTCCCGATGATCATAACTATGCAAGTAATCCATAGTGCTGTTTAAAATGTTATTTAAATCGGTTTATTGAACTCATGAGTGGGAGGGGATAATACATGTGGTTTTTACCTTAAGTGTGAAAGCTTTATCATGTCAACAGAAGTCTTTAATGACTGTCCATTTTTTAATTTAGAAAAGGCATAAAGCTGATAATGCGGTGAACAAGAAACAAACTCAAGGTAGGAAATTTTTTTAAGCCTATTAATTGTGGTTGAGATGGGTTGGGTTTTGTTTATTTGTTTGGTTTGTGGGGTTTTTTTGTTTCTTGGGTTTTTTGGGGAGTTTTGGGGTTTTTTTCGCAAATGGTAGCAATGTAATCTGAACTGCTGACAGGTAATCGAGTGGGAAATTGCTTATGCAGGTTACTTCAAAATTTGGAGTATAAACAGTTGAAATAACCATTTTCAGTCACATTAGCCCCACAAAATGGAGTATATTAAGTTTATGAGGTTCCTAAGAAACTAATATTTATTCATTTAACACAGGTAATGCTGTAGCTGTTAAAAGATCATAACTACCATTATATTTAGTTGGCCTAGACTATGATGAAAAGTCTGTGTATTTTGAAGTCCAAAACACATTTTTTTTCAACCAGCAAATCTTGAATAATTTGATTTTGGAAAACACCAATTGGAAGGATAAGTCATAAAACAGAACCGTCTTTCTATGCCACTTCAAAACTGGATAAAGATGAATAGAGTTTTTTTGGCTTGTTTTTTTAATATTAAATCAGTGTAAGGGTTTGATAAGAGATAAAGAGGTCTTTAGTCAGTGCAACCAGACCAGAGCTTTGGAATGTGATTTTTTTTTTTTAAGATTTTGATAAAGAGAAGAAGTAGTATTAAATCAAAGGATTATTTTAGCTCAGAAAGTGAGGGAGATGTTAGCTAATATGTCCTAAATGCACTTGTCGGGTAGGAAGTTCAGGCTGAAGTTCTCGCTTTGCTGCTCTAACTTTTCGTGTTACCTGTTCTGAGGTAGGCCTCTCTTGATAGAGCTGGTCCTGTTCTTATAAAAAGGATGAGAAATGAGTGTCATGTGAATGTGATTACAGAAAGTATGAAAAATACTACAAAGAGGAGAATCTTACATGGAATCTTTTTAAAATAAATAACAAGCATAACCTTAAGGTTTTTAGGGATGGGATGTAGTCATTGACTAAAGATAATCAGAATTGTTTAGCACTGCTAACCACTGGAAATGTCTCTAATTTAAAAATATAAATTTTAAAGCTTACCTAAATTGTACATAAATCTTAAAGTTTACAATAAAATTTAAGGAGGGCAGAGTGGGGAAGACTTAAAGTTTAAGTTACTAAACTGAGTAGGTAGTTCAATGGAAGGTATGGACAGATTAGGACAAGGAGACAAATCTATTGACTGAAAGCACTAGAAATAGAGATCTCCAGAGAACAGGCCTGAAGAAAGAGATAACCTCTTATCTATATATAAAAAAGAAAGGAAAGCTTAATTGAGGCATCCAAAATTCTTTTATCAAGCATTCATAGCTTTTGAGATTGCAACCAACAGTCTTAGGTGGCAGTAAATATTGAAGTGTCTTTTCAGTATTTTTTTGTTGTTGTCCAGAGTGTACAAAGTTTTAAATTAATAAAAGACTTGTTTAACTGTCTTTCCTGCCTCTTCTCCTTGGTTGTCTCTCTTTATGCTCATTGGTGACTGGTTTGTAAAATTCCTGAATGTTCTGTGCATGCAGAACAGCAGCTTGGAAGCTGAAATTGTAATGAGGATACATAAAATATTGCTGGCCCTGAGAAACAAGTTTCTTAAGCTAATGCAGGATTCATATAAGTGCAACATTGATCCTAGTATACTGTCAAAGCAGTATTTAAATATACTGTAAAATATAGTCTATTGTCAAAGCAATAATTAAAAAATTAATTGGTATGGTACTCTCTTACTTGTTTCCATGTATTCAGCAGTTGTAACCCTGAAAATCAGCCATGTGCATAGTACACTGTAAATCCAGCTCCACCTTTGGTTGTCTTTTACATATACAAAATCGTTAATGAAATAACATGTATATGTATATGGGTTTCCCTTCATCTGTCTATTCCTAAAGGATCATCTGTATCTCAGTTAACTTTAAGTAATGACCTTTCTAAATTTCCATTACTATAAAAAACCCTTTGCAGAGGATTTTATTAGGCTTAATTAGGGATGATTTTTGTTACCTTAGGCTGCATACATATACAGCAGGGGACCGTCATACACTCTGACATGATGATGAAATATGTGTTTCTACAGTGTGGTGAAGTGGTCTTCTGTAGGGCAGATGGAGCACACTTTTGAAAGTTAGTTGTTAGAGACAGCTGAAAAATGAGAGATACAAATGTGAAAGCCATGCCGCAGAAGACTTCATGGCACAAATTCTCTGTGCATAGCAACACCGCTTTTGTTCTCCTAAGAAAATTGATTTAATTAAGTGTCAGTGTTTGTTAATTGTGCTTAAAAGCATACTGGTTCAAGTTAGGGTTAAAGTACTCTTCAGATTTTAGGTATTTCAACATGTTTTCATGAGTCAGACTCATCCACTTGTGAGCTGATTTTTAACCAGCTAAACCAGCAGGAAACAAACCCAGAAAGAAAAACTGACAGTTACCTTCCATTTAGCAGCTTAAACTGGTTCATCAAAGGGTCCAAGAAACACCAGTGGCAGCACCCTTTGGGCAGTGAGAGCACACACATTTGCATGGGGTGAGGGCAGAACAGGACCTTCCCTTTGCAGTGGCAATGCTGTGGTAGGTCAGTTTGGCTGCAGGTGAAGCAGCCTTAGGGTGTGTAGTATTTTAGTAATACAAGTGCTTCTTTGGTCAGCGCTTCTTAAGAAGCCCCTGGCTACCTCTGGCAGCATATTTGCATCTCGGACCTGCAGAACTCCACTGGTTGTTATTCTGCTATAGGTATTTCTGAATTTATCGTCTGGATGGCTGCAAGGTGTATTTTTAATCCTCATCATTTCTTTCATGTAGTTGATACCATGGCCCCACAAACAATATTGCTGACACAAGGGGATGGAAGTAGGTAGTTTTATCAATTATCAAATTATCAATTATCAAATGTTTTGATTTCCTTAGGACAGTATTATAACCAGTCCTCACTCTGTACCTGTAGTTCTCCCGGTGAAGGGAGATGATTTGTGAAAATAGATTTTATGTAATGATCATCTGATTGGTGAGCCAGTCATTAGAATATCTTGCTTACTGTCTGAAAGGAAGACTGCTCCATTTACCATTGCCCGGAGTATATCAGCACTAATAAATCTGGGGGAAGGAAGGGTAATAGAAGTTCTCTCTTCTTACAGAATTATTAGGCAGATTAGACAGCAGTTTGCAGAAATCGTTGAGATATACAAGAAGAGGGGTCAGTTTGGACAGAACCTAAAGGAAGGCTTAGATGTAAAGGCTATATGTATTCCCAGGTTTTGATCCAATTCTTTGAAATCAACACATGCTTGCGTAAGAATTGGATCATGATCAGGTTCTTAGTCAAACATCCTGACAGTTTGAAAGTCAGGAGACACAGTGAAAGAACATTCTCTTGGAGCTTTGAGTATTGATGGCAGTATGTTTTATTTTCATTTCATTTTCTTTTTGCACATCAGTCTTCAGTAGCTTTGTAACTGCTGATAAAAAGTCACTTTTATTATTCTGTGAAAACGCAATCTTGGCAATTAATTCTTGCCAATTTCATAACTTTTTTTACTTTGAACTTTTTATTCTAATTACTAATTTATTTTAGAAAAAAACACATTATCATGGAGTCTATATCAGATTTAATTGATTCTCAAACTCTGTAAAATATTTTGAATATTGAATTTGTAGTAAGATTTGATGGTGCAAAAACTGTTATACAAAATGTGTGTATTGTAATTGAAATGCTTGACCTGAATTTATAGAAACAAGACATGCTGTAAAATATTGTATAAACGACCATTGTCTGTATGGCTTTTCATAAGGATTCTTAACACATATCTGTATACTGCTTTCAGATTGTACAACTGGAAAATTCTTTTTTTTTTTTCTTTTTTTTCAGTACTACGAAATGGTGCATGGGAGATTGTCCACTGGGAAAAAGTATGTGTTTATGTTTGTGACTTTTAGAGCATAATGCAGATCTAATATTTACTTTATTTGTGCAAATAATTGTTATTTATAAGAATTAACTGGTATGGTGGGAAATGTATAATCTTTTGTATTTTATTTTTTGTTTGCTATTACTTGTATCTTAAAATGTACGTTTAAGTCAAGTCAGTTTTGGTGGCATGAGTGAGACAAAGCTGTTGTTAAATGGTGGGCTTTAAGTTCAGTGAAAAAAATAAATTGAATAATATGATTGACTTGGGAGTATTTGCATATGGCAAAATTATACAGTTCCTCAATATTATTTGGTGTGCCAAGTCAGAAACTTCTTTCTGGAAACTAGTTACTTTGTGTGTATTTGCTGCAGTTCTTTAGCTTAAGTCATGAGAACTTTAAAGACTGTTATGCAGTCGTTAGGAAGGGACTTCAAAGGTAACTTTCAAGGACTAAATGTTATGCTGTCTATGTGGTCCCTTAGTTTTATTGGTGTCCATAACTGAAAAGTTGAACAAAATTTAACCCACAGTAATGTGGAGGCCAGGTTTAGATGAAATTAGTTTATAACTTTGGAGAAGCAAAGGTAAGGTATATAGTGTGATACTACAGAACTGGGATCTTAGTGGGGTAGATTAATTTTGTCTTTAACTTCAGCCTTCCAATAAAATACAATAACTAGCAAAATTTACAAACTGCATAGAGAATGTTGGGATTAGGCCCATTTTCCTGTGATCTTTGACTACCTAATACTCACAGGCTTCTCTTAAGTATGTGAGTTTCTAGCAGTATTTCTAGCAAATTCAGCAGGTAAATATTTACTGTGCTTAAAACAAGGGGATAACATATGTTGTCTGAGACCATTAACCAATTCCGAGTTTTTTTTCAGGTAGATGTTGGAGATATAGTTATAATAAAAGGCAAAGAGTATATACCTGCTGACACTGTACTGCTCTCATCAAGGTAGAGATGCCCACTGATGCTTATAGTGTAGAGGCTGGTTTCTCTACCCTGCATTTATTTATTTATTTATTTATTTGTGATTGCTCCAAGGAAATAAGGAATAAACAAAAATGCTGCTGTTCTGATGATGCAGACTTCTGTTCATCCAGGGATTCATCTCTTCAGGCAGTGTTTCTTTAAACTGTGGCAATTACAGTTTAAAAATCACACTCGTTCAAATTACCTCTAAAAAAATCCTAGTAAGTCATTTTGTTGTTGGATGTAATACAAAAAAGGCTGATTCTCTGTCTAAAAAGTTGATCTCAATTGCCATATTTAAACAGATTGACTTTTTAATACATACCTAACAAATTGCTTCCTACAAATAAATTAAAACAGTTATATTACAGGGAACAGAAATGTTTTTTAATGGATATAGTTGCCAGTTTGATAATTGAATTAGAAAAAAAAATAACATGAGATGTGAACCATCAAATTAGCTCTATCTTTAAGAGCTGAACATTCACTTCATTCTCTAATAAATATGTTGTGAATAAAGTCAGCACTGAAAGCAAAACTTAATTTATAGCATGTAATGATGTGACTCTTTTTACATGGACAATCAGAGGTTGTTTATCATCATTTCCTTGGACAGTTTTATTTAAGAAGTCCACATCTTATGTGGAAGACGCACATTTTTCAACATCTGTTTGATCAGGTCAATAGACAACACATTGTATGATTTTTTTAAAATTAAAATTATTTTTATATAATCAGATATATTTGGATTTATTACTGTATGTTTACAATGCAATTTCCATACTTTTTTCTGGCACAAGCAGAAGCATTATTGTAATGGGAACGATTATGGATTAGATATAAACCCACTATGATCCCACTGAGCTTCATGAATCCACTGGTATATGCAACTGATAAGATTAGGATCTTACATATTTCTGTGGCAGACTGTGGTGTAGACCAGTACATTGTTTACTCCACTTTCCATTATATCTCAAAATCAAGTGTAGCTGTTTCTAAAACACTTCTATTAAATTATTATCAAGTGTAAAGTAGTTGCCAGATAATACTGTAAATTTCCCCCCCAGTCTTTCTTCAGTACTAATGTTTGTCATAACTTCAGATGTTTTTGTATTGAGTATCCTCTATAAACCTTTTACTTCTGCACTTGAAGAAGCATTTTTAAATTTTATTGGTGCTTCTTCATGAAGATCTTCATAGGCAATACACCATGCAGCAAAACCAGTTGTTCTATTGGCCTGATAATAGCTTCTGTCATGCTAACCCTAGAATTTTGCAAATGAAACAGATTACATCCTCTCAGAGCAGCTTCTTTATAATTGTCCTGAGTAAGCTCCTGAATTTGAGTCTTTGCCTTCACTATTTTGCCTAGTTGGATTTGGAGGGCACTTGTGTCTCAATGTTCTCCAATTGTAGTATACAAACAGAAAAATACCATTTGACTGGAAATTAGCCCTTCTGAGGCTTTTTCCAGCTGATGGAAACCCACATCAGGGTTTGATAAGTTGAAATAATCATCAGCTGCTGCTGGAGTTGTCAGGACTATTAACTCTTCATTTAACCTTACCTTACTGCCCTTGACAGAACACATTGTCCTAACTGACCAATTACTCACCTTGAATTTTCTGTCAGGTTTTCTTCTAGGATCCAGTTTGCAAAGGGGACTCCTTGAGTCGTGATAGCTTTTCTGGGCCCAGTTCAGGAATTTCTTCCAGCTAAAACTTCCTTCATAGTTGTATTACAAGGGTCCTGGTGCAGCCCTCCTTTCAGGAGAGAACCCTATGCCTACTACGTTACCTCTAATTCTGCCTGCATATCAACATGTGCTCTCCTTCTCCACCTCTCATGTCCACATGACCATGCATTCTTCAGGAAGACAGCCTCATCAGTTTTGCTTACCAGGTGTTTATTGATGCCCAATTACCTTTTAGGTTTCAGGAGCAGTATGAGCCTGTGGGCCTGGTTTTAATTCAAACTAATAATATTTGGTTCTTTTTACCAGCAATAGCAGTTTCTGGAGAATAAGAGGATCTTAATTCTTCTAGGAAACTATCATCTCTTACAGTGGGACACAATCCTATGAGATTTAATTCTGTTTGGTTCTTACTACTTCAGTGTAAACTGAAATTTACAAAGCCGAAACAAAACACACAATCATTTTCAGTATGTCTATGTAGAAAGATTCTTGTCACCTGGCTTTTCTGAAAAGTTGGTGGAAAATCTTCCATTGTGGCCATTTTTTTTTTTTTTAAGTAATGCATGGAGTGGCTGGGAACTGTCAGTTGAGAAAAAGCAGAACAGCTTTTTATTTTATTCTACACTATCAATGTGTTCTGTAGCTTAAAATTGGTGCCTTACAGTAGAACAGTTGACTCAAGTAAAAATGAAAATAGTCTAGCTTTTTTCTTTCTGACCTGATTAAAATAGATTTTGAAAAAATTGTCATCAGATATTTTAATTAACATGTATGTTTTGTATAATAATTACAAACTCTGTCTTTTTATCTTTGTCCATTTGTTTGGTTTTGGTTTTGTTGTTTGTTTTTTTTTTTTCCCTGTCACTTATTTTTCTGTTCTAATCATTTTCAAACTGGGATGTGTAGGTGACGGTAGGGGAAGTAGTGAAAGTGACCAATGGGGAACATCTCCCAGCTGATCTCATCAGTCTGTCATCAAGGTTAGAATAAACTAGTTGCACAGAATATGTGTATGTGGGTCCTCATATACCAAATATGAAGAACACTGCTGTGTTGATAATATTTGCTTTGCTGTTCACTTGTCTTTGAAAAAACCCATACATTTCTAAAATTAGAAAGGGTTTAGTTGATAAAAGTACAGATCATTAAAGTGTAAGTACACGATAACACTCCAAGTAATGAAAATTTATTTCATCTTCTTTGTTTTTACACTATCACCATGAAATTTTACCAGGCAAACTGCCATTTAATAAGCACACAGTAAAACACCAGCATGACTGTGTATTTAATTCCTTAGAACAAATTAAGAAAAGTGTACATGTTTATACGAACACAATATTTTCAGCAAATAATATAGTTGAATGTTGGTAGGGCTAGTGGAGGACCCTCTGCACAAACTTGGATGTTGCACCATCTCTGCTGCATGCGATACCAAAAGCAGCGCTGTTCTTGTGTATTGTGACAAAATGCATGTTTCTTAGATATGTCAGCTTTATGCTATTGTCTGCACTGTTACTGCACTTCATTTTTCCCTAACAAATCAATGGGCCTGCCTTGATCTAACTAACTTACTTTGGAGGTCACTGCTATCCGCTCCAGTATTTACAATTAAGCGTGTGTCTTGCTTGAAATGTCTTTACTGCCTTAGTCTGTTTTAAAAGTGCTTCACAGAAATATTGTTTGGTTTTTGTTGTTGACTAATAAAAATGCTAGAAATGTAATAATGTTTTATACAGGTGATTCCATCCAAACAATCTAAATAGAAGTTATTTAAATTTGTAGAAAAGTTTGCCAAGAAGAAAATGCTGGCCTGAAAACAGTTTCTCATCATGATCTATCACACTTTAATGCTTTTGCTTTACAAAAATGTGTTAGAATAGCCTACTTAACTTTATCCTACAAACATTCTAAAACTAAGTTGTGCGTCAGCAGCTAGTGTTGCATTAAGGAAGAAAATTTTTAAAAATACTTGATGATTGAATTTCATGCTAGAAAGGGAAGTAGTAGAAGCTTTGAAGTGGTGTAGAGGGTAAATATTTTTTCTTTTAAGTTGTAATAGGGTTTTATGATTTATTTGGTCCTCTACAGGATCAAAACTTTGTTCTATTGTAGATACAAGTAGTAGGCACTCTGTCCTCATGCCCCAAAAATGGGAGCTAGCTTGGAGTAATTCAGAAATCCTGACCTGTTAGACCTGTTCATGTGTGCGGGAAAGTAATTTTGTCCTTCTGTATCTCTGTTTTCCTAGTTAACAGTTCTATAATGGTTGTAATGCAATTTAAATTCTAAAAAAATTGTATTGAAAAATTTAAATGTGAGGAATAGACCATTTATCAGTATGTGTCAAATAGATTCAAACTATTCAATTACTAATGTTCTACATAAACTTAAAACTTTTATTAAAAAAAATTAAATTGCTTAAAGAAGACATATTTAAAAAAACTGTATTAAGTTATTCGTAATTTAGACGTGTTTTATAGGAGAACCCTTTACAAGAAAACTTTCATGTCTAAACTACTGCTGCCTATAGCAGTAGGCACTGCAGATGCACTACACTTGTGTCTGTATCTTAATCTCATGTAAAAACATAGAGAACCTTTGTTGTGTACAGCATTTTTAGCAGCCTTTCATTGAATATAAGTTTTGGCAAACTTTTTGGAAAATATCAAGTACTGTTGGTTTTTACAGATTTCGCTGTAAATTATTCCAGTTCTGAAGATTCGGTAAAAAATAAGAAAAACATGTTGGTGTAAATAGGTATTAAAGGATTACAGAAAGTCCATGGATTTTGACAATTTAAAATTAAGGATTTGTTTTTTCTTAATAGTGAACCACAGGCTATGTGCTACATCGAAACATCTAACTTAGATGGTGAGACAAACTTAAAAATTCGACAGGTAGGAATTTCCTTTTTGAGAATATTTGTAATATTAATTTAATATATTATCACTTAGAAAAACATATTTTGTGACATTAATGGCTATTTTAGAGGACTTTGAAATCTTAGTGGTTTGAATAAAAAGCTATGGGTTGTTTGCATCATAAAAGGTTCTGTTCAATTAATGAAGCAGAAGGAATGAATGGTTACTCCTAAGACATGCTTTGTGCTTCGTTTTAGGGTTTTTCCTTGGGAAAATAGGTAGAAACGTTAGTAGTTTTGATACTGGGTTTTTTTTTAGAGGATAGATGAGGGAGAAACCCTGCAGAAAGAAGCTGATGGTAGTGCCAGTATTGTCCTTCAGCAGCAATTTTTGACTGAGTGTGTTGTCTCTGTGCAGGGACATTCTTGATGAACTATATGATAGGTTATAACACTGTCTTCATCATGATGTTTTAAGATACCAAGGTGACTTTTTCACTGTCTGTAGCATCCAGTAGTGTGATGGCAAAGTGTAGCGGGTATCCCCACAGGCATAATGGTTTTCTGGTCTTGCACTATCAGATTCATAAGATTTATATATTGTAAAGTGATTTCTAATGTCGTGACAAATGAATTTTTTTTACAGGGTTTGCCACTAACATCAGAGATAAAGGACATAGAAAGCTTGATGAGACTTTCAGGAAGAATTGATTGTGAGAGTCCAAACCGACATCTCTATGACTTTGTTGGAAACATCAGACTGGATGGGCATGGGTATGTAAATCTGAGGAACATGATCTCAGCAGATTCAATCTATCTGTAAATAGCTATATGTTGTTAAACTACTAAAGTTAAAATATTAGTAATAAAGTCTTTATTCTGTTAAGACTGTAGAGGTAAACATCTTTGCTGATATATTCCTTATAAGACTTTATTCTTTTAAAAAATTAGAGGGGTCAAACCTTATTTCTAATGTCTACAACTTGAGTTTTTATATTAGCTGATCTTCAGGAAGCAATAGCAATTAATAACAGAAGGGAGTACTAATCAAATGCTGACAGTTCTGGAATATGTAACTCACTTCTTAAGCATCTCATTCATTGCCTGTTAGGTTTCTGTTATAGAAACTGAATAGAAGTAGTTTCTCGTCTGGTTTTGTTTGGTTTGTTTTTGTTTTAAATTATTGTTGTTTTATTCTGTTTCTCTGAGTCTGGAGTGGAACTGAGTCCATCGCTGTATACCTCAAATTCTTCTAATTTGGTAGCTGAAAGACATCCAATACCTTATATTGCTGAAAGTATGTTTCTGTAAAAATAGACCACCTCAGTGTGATTACAACATGCATGCTTGTAAAACTGCTTCAGAAATCCTTAAAATACTTAAGGGCTTACCAAATATTGATATCTGGAGTCTTCTGTGGATTTGAACTGAATGTGATACATTAGGAGTATAAAATTCATTACTACATCCAGATTTATTGAGTCCTTCATTCCCAGATTTACAGGATTTATTTTTTATTTGGTAGGCATTTATTTCTCCATATAAAATATTATTCATGTTTGTGGTTTTAGACTGACATATATTAAAAAAATACTTTTTTTTAAGATTCAATTTTTTAATTTACTGATTTCTTACAGATGCATTCTGGGAGTTTTCTGTCGCAAGAGTGTGGCTCTATTATAATTCCACTGTACTTGTCATTAAGAAGAGAAAAACATTTACCTGTAATTCTTCTCTGAAGGTAATAGTTATAATAGATCCACACATTCATCCTTCCTCCCTGGCTAAAGGGAAAAACATACTTTTTAATCTAATTACTTGATTTAAAAGAGAAACATTGAGCGTGCTGATGGCCAGTATGCCTCAAGAATGTGTAGGAACATGCCATCTGCTGGTCAAGCAATTTGTCACTTGAGAATTTCAGTTTTGAATTATTTTGAATATAGTTCTTGTGCAGTAGGATAGTTCCAAAAGTGTGGCTCTAATATAATATTTACCTTCAGTGAAAAAGAATTGCAGGTAAGTAACTCTTTTTGGATCCTGACCTTATTTTCAACCTGAAAAATCAGGGATAAGTTCTCTTTCTGCCCATATTAGAGGTAGCACAAACTCATCTAACTGGTATTTATTTATCCAGATCTTTAAGACATTCCAGGTTATGTAGATCCAGCAGTTTTGATTCCCGCTTTATCCACTACCATCTTAACATTTTTGCCAAAGCAGTCGATACTGAAAATGTATCTCCCTCTTCTTTCTTCTTTCCTTTTAAAGTAACTCATTGGAGTGCCATAAATGATGTATCTGGTTGACCTTTTCAGTCTTCTCTTTTCCCTTCATGGGAGAACAACTTAAAAAAAAAAGGTTCTCTTTTTGTCTTTTGGACCCTCAGTATTCAAGAATATATAACTCCACTGCAGTTACACAGAATCACAGAATGTTAGGAGTTAGCAGACATCTCAAAAGATCATCTAGTCCAACCCCCCTGCAGTGATCCAGAGCAGGATCACCTAGACTAGGTCACACAGGTATGCGTCCAGGCGGGTCTTGAATGTCTCCAGGGACAGAGACTCCACAACCTCTCTGGGCCCTGTTCCAGTGCTCCATCACCCTCAGTGAAAAAGTTTCCAACTTGAGGCTAATTCCGCTTTTCCTATCGCTTGTTCGTTGGGAGAAGACACCGACCCCTCCTTCGCCTTGTTACCCCCTCCTTTCAGGGAGTTGTAGAGGGGAATAAGGTCTCCCCTGAGCCTCCTCTTCTCCAGGCTAAACAGACCCAGCTCCCTCAGCCACTCCTCATAAGGGAGATGCTCCACTCCCTCAATCATCTTTGTGGCCCTGTGCTGGACTCTTTCAAGCAATTCCCTGTCCTTCTTGAACTGAGGGGCCCAGAACTGGACACAATATTTCAGATGTGGTCTCACCAGGGCAGAGTAGAGCGGGAGGAGAACCTCTCTCAACCTACTAACCACACCACTTCTGATACACCCCAGGATGCCATTGGCCTTCCTGGCCATGAAGGCACATTGCAGGCTCATGGTCATCCTGCTGTCCATGAGGACCCCCAGGTCCCTTTCTGCTGTGCTGCTCCCCAGCAGCTCTGTCCCCAACCTGTACTGATGCATGGGGTTGTTCTTCCCCCCGATGCAAGACCTTAAACTTACCCTTGTTGAATTTCATTAAATTTTTCACCGCCCAACTCTCCAGTCTATCCAGGTCTCGCTGAATGGCAGCACAGCCTTCTGGAGTGTCAGCCACTCCTCCCAGTTTTGTGTCTTCAGCAAACTTGCTGACAGTGCACTCTGTTCCTTCATCCAGGTCATTGATTAATATGTTGAATAGTACTGGTCCCAATACCGACCCCTGGGGGACCCCACTCGTTGCAGGCCTCCAACTGGACTCTGTCCCATTGATCACAACTCTCTTTGTTACTCAAAGTAACAAAGTTACTTTGCCTTTTGGCTAAATATAAAAATAAAAGAGGCCAAAAAAGTTTTCTTGGTATCCTTAGGTTTTGAGTGAGTTAATTCTTATCTCCAAAGTATGCACCTCTTTGTTATGCTCATGAATATACAAAAGTGTGTCAACTTGGTTTTAGTCAATGACAGTTAGGTAGAGAAAGACAAAAAGTTCTTGTCTTTAGCCTGGATAAATTTGAGATTATGATCAGACAATAGCTAAAGTAAATATATTGATGTAAAGACCTAAAGTAAATGTACTGCTGAAGACATTCTTTAAAAAATTTGGATAAGACTGAAGCATGCTTGATAAGAAAAACATTTTGTTATGTAAGCTTTCAAATGTGTCTTAGAAATTACTACCTCTTAATGTACGCTTGACAGCCCTGGCAAGAAATTATGCCGAAAGGGTATTTCCCCACTGAGAACATCCCTTGCTGCATACAGCCCAAATATGTTGCTGAGGAGTTGTTAGTTATGTAGCATACAAGAAGAATCAGATGAGTTGTAGTAGTTTTGAGAAAGCTGGGACTGGGAAACGGAGACCTGAAAGCAGTGTCAAGTCATCACACCATCACCTCATTATAGAGTGGGATAAGATCACAATGTTGAAGATCAGTAGCGTGACACCTGGAAGATCTGGGCTTTCTCTGCCCCTGGTTGTTTTGCTGTCTGTCTTCATCTCCTTGGTCTGTGCACCAGTTCTGCTGGCGACAGTTCTCGCTGGCTGCAATCCCAATTCACTTCTGATTGTCTTCCGAATAACAGACCCTTGACAATAAATTCTGGTTCCAAGTTGGAGAAGGGTATTCATTTGAGAGCCAGTGTCCTGACGGAAAGGAGAATCAGTGGATTCTGCAATAGAAAGGACTTTATGCATAGTCTTCACAGTTTTTAAGAAAGGAAAACAAAGAGGAAGATCAGAAAGTAGCAGGAAGAGTCTTTGAATTCACTTGGCTCTTCAAGGAGTGCAAGAATTAAGAGTGGAAGGTTTTGGCTTCTGCTTTCCTAGACTCTCCTGTATTAGTAGAAGGGGCATAAAGTCTTTTGGCATTTCAGAGAAGCTCCACGGTTGAAAAGGTTTCCAATTTATCTGTGGCAGACTTGTGTGTGACCAGAGAAAGTTATTTTTCTTTCATCTACTGTGACATTCACGCTAGTGTTAGTAGGCTAACAATATCTAATTATTCTTGGAATGACATGTAATCCACTCCTTCACTGAAATGTGTACATATTGTGCTGATGTCCAAAAGTCTTAGAATGATTCTGATCAAGGAATGCAAGTAAATAAATAAAAGTGCACAAGCAGTCTTTGGCAACAGGAGTCTTTCTTAATGATTCTTGTGTAATTCAAATCCCAGCAGTTTCTATCATACTTGAAAGTACACTTATTCTCTTAATTTTAGCCTTAGATGGAGTTTACCACCCGCTT